GCCCGTCGAGCCGCTTGCGCTCCCCGACCTTGCTCGCCGCCTCCTGCTCCGGCTCCACCGGCGAGGCGTGCTCCACTTCCTCTACTGTAACGCTCCACTTTTCGTGAGACGTTAAAAACTAAATTACAAAAAAATCCTATATGCGAAAATTTCGTTCCTTGAGTGCTGAGTTTAAGTCGTGCCGTGGATCTCAATTTAAATCTCCTTGATCCCTCTGTGTCCATCAATCGATCTATCCACTTATCTAACCTATCTATCCATCTACTTCTCGGAAGAAGTCTATTTTACCTCCCTATATTTTTGGATGGACCGGTTTCCTCCCCCGGCCATCTCCCCTCCCAGCCCATCACCGCCCCCCCTCTAGCACGTGCGTTGCACGCAACCGAGACGAGAGAGAGAGCGCCGCTCGCTCTCTCTGTTTCTCTCTCTCCCTCGTCGAACTCCCTCTCCCCGGCGCCGATTTCCCGCCGCCGCCGTTTGAAATCCGGCCGCGCCCTCGTATTCGCGCGCGCGCTCGCCGACCGCCCGGTCGTCGCCGCGTTAGTCCTGGCCGCCTGCGCCACGCAGCCGCCCATGCCGCCCTGCCACTCGCTCCACCTGTGCGCGCGTGCGTCCAAGACATGGAGGCAGAGCCTCGGCTCCCCTCTCTCACGCTCTCTCCCTCCTCCCTCTGCTCGCCCAAATCGGCAAGGAGCCGAGCTCCTTTCCCCTCCCCTTTTGCTTTTTCCCTCTCAGCCCGGCCACCCGTGACCACCTCCTGCCACTCCTTGACCGCAAGCGCCGCGCCAGCCGAGCTCCCTTGACCACCTAAGTCGGTTTCCTCCCCCCAAAACCGACTTCCCGTGCCTATAAAACCGCAGCCGAGCCCCTCCTCTCAACCCCTCCCGCTTCACTCTCCACGCTGCCGCGCCATTGTCGCCCCTGCCCTGCAGTCGCCCTCGCTGTCCGTCGCCGAAGCTCCAGGAAGACCGATGCGTGCGAAGGACGCAAGAAGAGGACTCCACGTGCCGTCATCTTCCCCTTCCCCGGCCCGAGGCCGGAGAGCTCGCTCCCGCGCCGTCGGTCACCCATCACAGCGCCCGTCTCGACTCGATAGTGCCTCTCTCCGTTCTCCCTTCTCACTCGGCCTCTCCCTCTTTTGGCTCGCACGTAGCTTGGTAGCCTTCCCGAACGCGCGTAGACGAAGCCCCAATTCCCGCCACCGCCCGGCATGGCCTTGTCGCCATTGCCGCCCGTTCCGGGGAGCCGCCGCTCATCGCCGGCCTCCCTCGGGGCCCCTCCGTCCCATCCGGCACCGGAAATGAATTCCTTGCACCCCGGAGATACTCTCGCCACCTTGAATCGACCTTTCATCGCCCCACCGCGATTTTCACTTTTGCTCGCCGCCGGCCGCCGCCGTCGCAATCCACCGCCCTTGACCTCTCCCGGCGAAATCCGAGCCGTTGGCTCGCCTCCTCTCGCGCCTATCTTCGCTCCGGTGGTCTCCCCTCCTTCCGCCGTGCCTCGCGCCGCTCCGCCGACGCGCGCCGCCGTCCGCCGTCCATCCGGCCGGCCTTCGTCTTCCTCCTCTCACCATCCGACGCGGCCGCCACGTAGGCGCCACGTCGGCTAGGCCGAGTCAACCCGTCAGCCTCCCTCCCCCATCCCGGTGCGCGTGGTCCACGGTGCGCTAGCCGCCGACGCGTGGGCCCGCCTCTTCCTAGTCCATCCGGCGCATGCGGCATGAGCCGAGCCCACTAACCCTAGCACCACACCCCGCGTGCACTCCCCCCCACCGTGAACCAGGCCGCCGCCAAGTGGCCCCCGTCCTGGGACCCCCACGCGGTGGATCCGGTCCACCAGACCGCCTCCCTCTCCCCACCCGAGCCCTAATGGGCCAATCTCCTTTGGGCCGCGCCTCACGCTCGGCCTAAAAAGTCTATATTTCCTCCCTCCACCAAATCAATTCTCATACACAAAAGTCCATCTTTCCCCCTTGTTGGACCCACATATCAATGAGTAATTAAAGAATATTCTTGGGAATATTCTTTTCCATAAATTTAATAGATCATTTCTTAAACCATTTCTCCTATTCCAGAAATTCCAATTAAGCTTCCGAAATTCTTATCTTCTCAACCGCTCATCCGATTGACTCCGTTCCACTTCCAATAATTCCGTAAAATTGAGATCTATTTAATGGCACTATTATTTAGTCTAAATAGGGTCTTTTTCTTGGTCTTTTTTTCTAGGTTTTCGATTGTTTGCGTATAGTTGCGGTTACCGGATTTTCGTCGATCGTGGATTTCTCGAAGATTCGTGAAGCTCAGTGAAGACCTTGAGCAAGGCAAGTCACCCTTTGACCAATTGCTCCTATAATTGAAAAATCATTATTATTTTGTTTGCAACTTGCATTATTAGAATCACACACTTAACTTGCTTGGCCTCGGTTTGCATGCTAAACCGACGGACCTATCCAGTAGTCGCACTACTTCCTGTAGGCTGACATACCCTGATCCCTTGTCGCTCCACCATTGTGGTACTTCAGTATCCGTGCTCTCTAAGCCTGTATGCCAATTATCCCACATACACCGTTGTTTGTCGAAAATTTGGGCAATGGGTTTGAGAAGCCTTGAAAACCCGACATGTGGTGTCGGTGTGATTGAAAATAAAATGAATTGTGAAAACTCGCGATGCGGGGGTTGTGCCTATGTGGCACTGTCCCGTATTCGCATATAAGGACCGATTCCTGTGGGAAACTCATCGAACATGATCAAAGTGCAACCACAAGGTGGAATGGGACACCCTAGCTAAGTAACTAGTCGGTTCAGGGAAACCTCGCATGCCAATAGTTGGGAACGCCGGGGCGGGGTCGGACAAACCGGGTTCCTGGTAAGGCAAGGACGAGAAGCTTGCTCACTTACCGATCAAGGTGGTTGGAGTTGATTTGTGAATGCCTAGAATGGCCTGTATTTATGTGAGGATTTGATCCTTCTATGTGGCATGAGGTAACCCTGGGTCGGCTTGAGAAAGGCTTTGTCGCGAACCTCTGATACCGGCCAGTGTCTGGACTAAGTTCGTGTCTTGTGGGTAAAGTGTACCCCTCTGCAGAGGTTAACTAACTATTCGAACAGCCGTGCCCACGGTCATGGGCAGATGTGAGGTGGTTCCCGTTGCGTAGATTTTATTGCCTGTGCTTTGTGAAAAGTTGTTGTGGTGTGGGAATCGTTACCAGAATCAGCCTATGTGGCAAATGGATGACCTGAGTGGTCGGAAACGAATCTGTGTGATTCGGGATGTCTGCGGGCATCATAGACTAGGCTTCCTGAGTGGAAGCGGATTGTTGTGCTGCTGGGCAGCTGGACTCTGGGAGTCCGAGAAAATGAAAAAGGCTCTGGGAGCCGATTAATCAAGTGAAATGGCTCTGGGAGCCGATAAGTAATGATCTGACCCGGGAGGTCGGTACATTACCATTTGAGTTGTTGAAAAGCATCTCTTAAGTCAAATCGAGACGTAAGTCTCTTTTCGATCCAAACTCAAAAAGAAATAAATCACTTAGTGACTTCAAAAATGATTTCAAACAAAGGATTTGCAAAACAACCTTGCCTCTCTTCCAAGCTTGCATTAAACACCTAAATTCCCGTGACTTGCTGAGTACGAAATTACTCACCCTTGCTCTATATATATATATATATATATATATAGTACATTTGTTTGGTGCTCCATGGTGCCCGGGCACCATTGTTGAAATTGAGTATATAGTTCCTCTGCCTTGAAGTGAAGATGAAGTGAAGTGAAGATTAGGGTTTCGTCCTGGTTCCCAGCCGTCGTCTGTGGTGTTGGGTGTTAGCCCGTTGGTTCCGCTGCTGCTGCTGTTGTTGGTGTTTTCTCGTCCGCGTCGTCGGTTGCATTCTCGGCTGTTCTGAGCTGCAACCTAAGTTAAGGTAAATAAGTCCTCTATTTATTTTAAGGATTGCAATGATTCATATTTGTCACCGTGGGTACCAGCGCTATGTCCTGGGACTGGTACTGAGATCGCGGTTTCGTAAGAAGCGGTTCGCGCCGTTATTCCTATGACACGCTCCTGTCAGGTGCCGTTGTACGGCGGTGCTGGATTGGGGTGTGACATCCACCTCTTCCCTCACGTGTTCGACCTCCGCGGCCCGCCCCGCTCCCGCTCTCCCTCTTGCTCACCACGCCCGCCGCTGAGCTCCTCGCCATCGCTGCCTCCCCCGCGGCAGCGGCCGCCGGCTACAGCGAGCGGTGCGGCGACGGTGACGGGCCGGGGAGGGCTGTACCTCAGGTGCCATCTGATTTGGGGGAGGAGTGAGGTAGGAGGAGGGGATCCGGATTAGTATCCTGTCTCCATGGGATACCGGTGTATAGATTTTCTCCTAAATATATGATAGCGCTGACCTTTTGATTTATGCAAAAAGAGACTATGACTAAAATGTATTAAAATAAACCTGCACTTTTAAACATAAGTCTATGAAAATATATTAAAATCGGTGAGTACGAAACATTGCACTTCACATCTCCTCAAAAAAAAAACATTGCACTTCACATGTGCATCAATAACCTTACACATATGCCACTCATTTAATATTTTGATATTCAAAATTGATAATTAGGGAGTATGTAACGAACATGAGCATTTTTTTTAATTTAGCCTGTTATAATTCAAAATTAAACAATGTACTCAATATATATTAAAATTTAATATCTATTCTATAATGACTGGTGCGACGTATTTGTTGATGATCAGTAATTTTCAATAATACAGAAGTTAAGTCTGAAAGTTAAGGGTGTCAAATGTCTGGTTTTGTAGTTTAGGGGTGTAAATTCGAACTGTCAAAATAGTTGAAGGGGTTATTTGGATTTTTTTTTCCTATACTAGGTATTCTCTGAAATGTTTCTTCCAATTACATTTTTCTTAGTCATAATACAAAGGAAGCATGTCCTTCTGTCCTTCGGTGCCAATTACAGAACAATGGAAAAACTAAATATAGTTCATCATAAGAAGGTACATTAAGAAACCACAGCTTACAGATACTAAGCAGTAGTTCCTCTTGAAAGAAATTGATTAATACAGTACACCTTCTGCATAACCTTACACTGTATGCAATCAACAAAGCCGAAAACAGCATACCTTAAGGTTCCACTGAAAAAGAACATTCCAAACCATACCCAAAACCCGAAAACCACTCCAGCCATTACACAGAAGGATAGATACTGGTCCTCGCATTTTCTACAAAATCTCTCATCCGATGCAAGTGAAGAACTTGTGCATGAAATGTTCAATGGAAAGCCACATAGACCATAATTGTTGTGGTATATTGATGGGTCACTGAGGGTTTGAAGTTGATTCCCAGTGGGTATCTTACCTGATAGATGATTATTCGAGAGATTTAGAATGTCAAGAGTAGATATATCAGCAAGGCTTGGAGGAATGGCTCCTGAAAGTTAGTTCAATGAGAGGTCAAGGAACTCTAGATTTTTCGTATTACCAATGTTTTTAGGTATGCCGCATGACAGATGGTTTCTTGACAAGTTCAGAAATAGAAGGCCTTGGAGGGTTGTTAACTCATCAGGGATACACTGCGACAATGAGTTACCTGACAAATTGATACCCGTTAGTAATTCAATTGTTTTTTCGAAAAATTGCTCTTGCCCCTTCCAGATTGTATCGATTCCATCCGAGTAAAGCAGCCAATTTATGTAAGAAGACCATTCTAATGTTTCTTGAGCAGATAAAGTATTTGGATTCTTCATGGAAGTTAGGTTGCCAAAAGATTTGGGAATCAATCCTGTCAAACCGTTGTTGCTTATGTCTAACAGTTGAAGTTGAGAGAGATTCGACAACTCTGAAGGGATTTCACCTGTGAAGTTGTTTGATTTCAGGCTAAGAAACTTCAACGACAGAAGGCCTTTCCCAATCCAAGGAGGAATACCTCCAAAGAATCTGTTGTTCCCAATATCTAGGGTGATCAGCGCCTTACACATCTCTAACGATGATGGAAAAACACCGGTGAAGCCGTTGTCGGCAAGATGAACCGATTCAAGAGAACAGTTGTAGTTCGTCTGGACTGTAGGGATTTCACCTGAGAATGCATTGTTGGACAAGTCGATGAACTGCAGATTTTGCAGGTTCCACCAGCAGTCGGGCAGCTTACCAGTGAGCTTGTTGTTTGACAGGTACAGGATCTTTAGGGAGAGCAGTTGACAGAAATCCGAACCAGATCTGCTGTTAGAGGAATTCCCTGACGAATGATCAACTCCCTGCATCTTGAAATTGTTTCCCATATTTCCCGGAATCGGTCCTGAAATGGAGTTATGGCTCAGCTTCAGGAATGTCAAATGGCTGAGATGACCCAACTCAGGTGGAATACCTCCTGTCAGATCATTATCTGACAAATCAAGATCCTCCAAGCTTGTCAAACTCCCTAATGCTGCGGGTATGCTGCCTGATAATCTATTTCCAAACATGAACAACACTATCAGTTTCCCTGCCTTTCCCAGCTCCGGCGGAATCTTGCCGGTGAACAAGTTGTTCTGCACTTGGAAGGATATGAGCTCGGGCCAGCTCGTGAACAACGCCGGTGGGATCTCACCGGTGAGGTTGTTCGTTGAAATGCTGAACACCCGCATTGCTTGCATCCCGGCGAACTCCGGCGGCAATCCACCGGAGAGCTGGTTCATGGACAGCTCCATGACAGTGAGATTCTTAAGATTTCCCAGCTCAGGCGGCAGAGTTGAAACGAGCTCGGCGTTCATGATGCTGAGCTGCTGCAGCATCTGGAGCTGGCCAAGAACAGGTGGGATAGTACCGCCCAGCGGGTTGAATCCGAGATCAAGAACCTTCAACTGCGACATCGACCCCAGGAACACCGGGACGCCACCGGTGAGGTTGTTGCTGTCAATCCGAAGGTCCAGGAGCTTCGTCAACCTCCCGATCGACGCCGGAATTTGACCGGAGAACGCGTTGAAGGACAAGTTGAGGTACATCAGATTCGGGAGCTTTTCCGGCAGCATGTCTGGTATGGACCCAGAGAAATTGTTGTGCGACAGGTCGAGGAAAGTGAGGTTGCCGCTGCGGATGACGAACTCCGGGAAGCTGCCGTTGAGGGAGTTGAGGAAAAGAGACAGGAACGTCATGGTGGGCATCGGCGAGAACTTGCGGAAGTCGAGCCCGGTCAGGTAGTTTGCTCCCAGGTCGACATGGGCGATCTTGGGGAGCCGGCTGAGCTGGTGCGGGATGGCGCCGACGAGGTTGTTGTTGTAGAGGCGGAGGTCGACGAGGCCGGAGAGGTCGCCGAACTGCGGCGGGATGGAGCCGTCGAACCAGTTGCTGCCGAGGTCGAGCGAGGCGAGTGAGCGCAGCCGCGAGATTCTGGCCGGGATCGCGCCGACGAGGTAGTTGTCGTTGAGGTCGAGCTCAGTGAGCGCCGGGAGCGCCGCGAAGTCGAGCGCGTGGATGCCGCCGCGGAGGCGGAGGCTCCGGAGCCGGAGCGAGGCAACGCTGCCGGCGGCGTCGCAGGCCACGCCGCGCCAGGTGCAGACCGGCGCGGCCCGCGTCCAGTCGGACAGCGAGGCCGCGTCGTCCAGGCTGGCCTTCCACGCCAGCAGCGCGTCGGTCTGCGACGACGACGCTGCCGCTTCGGCCGACGCAGGGATGGCAGCGGCCGCGGCCGCGGCGAAGAGGACGACGACGTCGACGAGGAAGAAACGGTGGACGACGGGAGCCATGTGCGCAGTCGGTTCCTTCATGGCTTCATGGCAGAGGCGTAGTAGCTCCTAGTAGTAATCCAGTTAGCTGACTAACGAGCAGAACGGAGGAAAAACAGGAGCTGGTTGGCACGACGTGGCGATCTCGCGTTGGAGTCGTCTCCGACTATGCAGGTATGTCAATCTATCTATCTACTCGGGAAGCTATTTTAATCCATCTAAGTGGATGTTCAAATGGTTATAAAAATTTCTTAAAAAATTTAACAATGCCCATACAACATATATATATATATATATATATATATATATATATAGTATATGCTCACTACACAAAATCTTAGGATAAAATTAACTCACGCATCGAAGATATAAAAAGACAAATTCAACGTACAAATAGCAGCATTCTGTTCGCACCTGAATTTATCTTTTTCTTTATGTGTAGGTCGAATTTCAAGTTGATTATTGATAGACCAATAGATGTCACTGTACTTTATATTGTCATTTTTTTTCAATAATTTTTCACAACTATTTGTGTTGGCTTTGAAAAAAAGTATAAAGGGGACATCTAATGAAGGTACTAGAATCCATTCCCTATCTACTCATGTTTTACTCCCTCCGTATCAAATTTTAAGGCTATATTATTTTACACGGTTTTCAGAGACATATTTGGGGCTTTCCAAAGCCCTAGTTCAAGAAAAAATTATTCCATATCATATTCCTAACGAATATGAACTTAGCAACACATGAAAGCATAATACTTAGCATATATATGTTTAGTATGATTATGAGTCCAAAAGTTATCGAGTTTGATTTTTCTTTAAAAAAGAGGGCGCCCTATAATTTGGGACGGCATATTATATATTTTTTTCTAAATCAAACTTACGTTTGACTCAGATTAAATTTAGTAACTTTATAACACCAAATTAGTTTTATCGAATGTAACATTGATTATATATTTTGATAGTATGTTTGTGTGGTGTTGAAAATGTTACTATATTTGTTTATAAACTTAATTAAATTTAAAGAAGTTTCACTAAGTAAAGAATAAAAATGATTTATAATATGAAATAGAGAGTGTTAATTTATTTGTTATTAAAGTAAAGTAGTAGGTTAGGTCAATCATGGACCATATCCTATGCATACAAGCTTTCCATTCACACCAACTAGCAAATATCATAAAAAATTCTAGAAGAAAATGGACACATACTTTAAATTGTATTACACTTATATGTGAAACCTTATCTTTAAATAAATTATATTTTAGCCATAACAAAAGAGAAAATTCTGATAGATTTTTATTCTTAAAAATATTAGATTTTTCTTTTTTATGGTTAAAATATAATAAATTTGAATATCAGACGTTGCAAAGATGTGTAATATTATTAGGAGCACAAATCCAATTTTTTTCAAGAACTTTCCATGATAATTGTTAGTTGGTGTGCACGGACAGTACACGGGAAGTTTGTGTGCCAGAATATGCTTTTGCGCAATCAAGTGGCTAGCATCTATATAAATTTATGATGTAATTGTGCGGCTAGCATCAATATAATTTTATATTATGATGTAAATTCATTTGTATTTTCTACACATTAATATATATAAAATTTCTTAAGTAGTCAACTGTCACACTCCAATCTGGCACCGCCGTACAACGGCACCTGACAGGAGCGTGTCGTGGGGAAAACGGCGCGAACCGCTTCCTACGAAACCGCGATCTCAGTACCAGTCCCAGGACATAGCGCTGGTACCCACGGTGACAAATATGAATCATTGCAATCCTTAAAATAAATAGAGGACTTATTTACCTTAACTTAGGTTGCAGCTCAGAACAGCCCGAGAGTGCAACCGACGACGCGGACGAGGAAACACCAACAACAGCAGCAGCAGCAGAACCAACGGACTAATACCCAACACCACAGGCGATGGCTGGGAACCGGGACGAAACCCTAATCTTCACTTTACTTCATCTTCAACTTCCGGGCGGAGGAACTATATATATATTTATATAGAGTAAGGGTGAGTACTTTTGTACTCAGCAAGCCACGGGAATTTAGGTGTTTGATGCAAGCTTGGAAGAGAGGCAAGGTTGTTTTGCAAATCTTTTATTTGAAGACATTTTGAAATCACTAAGTGATTTATTTCTTTCTAAGTTTGGGCCGAAAAGAGACTTGCTTCTCGATTCGACTTTAAGAGATGTTTTTCAACAGCTCATTTGATAATGTACCGACCTCCCGGGTCAGATCATTACTTCTCGGCTCCCAGAGCCATTCCACTTGATTAATCGTCTCCCAGAGCCTTTTTCATTTTCTCGGACTCCCAGAGTCCAGCTGCCCAGCAGCACAACAATCCGCTTCCACTCGGGAAGCCTAGTCTATGATGCCCGTAGACATCCCGAATCACACAGATTCATTTCTTGACCACTCAGGTCATCCATCTGCCTCATAGGCTGATTCTGGTAACGATTCCCACACCACAACAACTTTTCACAAAGCACAGGCAAACAAATCTACGCTACAGGAAACACCTCACATCCGCCCATGACCGTGGGCACAGCTGTTCGAACAGTTAGTTAACCTCTGCAGAGGGGGTACACTTTACCCACACGACATTACTAACCCGGATCACCCAGCCCGTGAGATCAGCCACGTCGAGAGACCCTAAGGCTTTCATGACAAGGCATTTCGAAAGCCGACACAGGTTTACCATATGCCAACAAGAGGGGTCCCAGACCAACACCAGGTTAGGTCCCAGACCATACTGTGCCAGGAAGCCCGAGGGTTCTCCCTGACACCACCCCGTTGAATCCACATGTCTCTTGGCATCATGGCTCCCCCGATTAGCTAATTACTCAGCCAGGGGCGTCCCATTGCACCCGTGTGGTCGCACTTATTATATGCTCGGATAAATTTCCCACAGGAATCGGTCCTTATATGCGAATACAGGACAGTACCACATAGGCACAACCCCCGCATCGCGAGTTTTCACAATCTATTTTGTTTTCAAACACACCGACGCCACATGTCGGGTTTTCAAGGCTTCTCAAACCCATTTCTCAAATTATCGACAAACAACGGTGTATGTGGAATAGTTGATATACGCACTCAGAGAACACGGATACCGAAGTACCACAAAGGTGGAACGATAAGGAATCAGGGTAGTACAACCTACAGGAATTAGTGCGACTACTAGGTAGGTCCGTCGGTTTGGCACGCAAACCGAGGCCAAGCAAGTTGAGTGTGTGATTCTACTAATGCAAGTTGCAAACAAAATAATAATGATTTTCCAATTATAGGAGCAATTGGTCAAAGGGTGACTTGCCTTGCTCAAGGTATTCACTGAGCTTCACGAATCTTCAAGAAATCCCGCGATTGACGAAAATCCGGTAACCGCAACTATACGCAAACAATCGAAAACCTAAACAAAAGACCAAAAGAAAGATCCTATTTAGACTAATTAGTAGTGCCATTATATAGATCTCAATTTTACGGAATTATTGGAAGTTGAATGGAGGCAATCGGACAAACGGATCGAGAGATATGAATTTTCTAAGGATTATTTGATTTTCTGTCTAAAGGAAAAGGAATTATTAATTCTCTTGGAAAAGAAAAGGAAGGAGGGATCGGATTTAGACTTTCTCGAGCAACTTAGGCGCGGCCCGAGGGATTCACAAGGCTTGGCCGGCCATTGGGCCGAGCGTGGCCACGGGGAGGCGGCCCATTAGGGCGCGCGGGGAGGGAGGGAGGCCCGACGGGGTGGGCGCGGTCCGCCGCGCGGGGTCCCGAGATGGGCCCGCATGGCGGCGGTCGGGTGTATGGTGGGGAGGGCGCACGCGGGGACGGGCGAGACGGACCGGTGGATTGGGTGCGGATGCGGTGCGCTGGTCGACAAGGAGGCGGCGGGCCCACGTGCAGCCTCATGGCTCACCGGGGTCTGCGCGCACGGGGATGAAGGGACGAGGGCGAGCGGCTGACCGGCTTGACCGAGTCAAGCCGACGTGGCACCTATGCCAGGCCACGTGGGCGGCGAGAGGAGGAAGAAGGGGGATGCCAAGATGGACGGCGGACGGTGGCCGAGTTCACCGGAGTTTGATGCGGAGGTCTAGGGCCAAGGGGAGCACACCAGAACGATGGCTAGGATAAGAGGGAGTGAGCCTCCGGCTCGGATTCCCCGGGGGGGGGGATTCAATGGCGACGGATTTCGACGGTGGCGGCCGGCGGCGATCAAAAGGGGAAATCGCGGTGGGGCGACAAGAGGTCGATTCAAGGAGGAGGGAGCATCTCCGGGGCGCGGGGAACTCATTTCCGGCACCGGATGGGGCGGAGGACTGCCGAGGAGGGCTGGCGACGGCGGTGGCCTCCGGGAGCGGGCGGCAACGGCGGCAAGCCTATGGCGGGCGGCGGCGAGACCTGGGGCAGCGTCCATGCGTGTTCAGGGGGCTAGCCGAGGTACCACGCGAGCTAGGGAGGGAGAGGACAAGCGAGAAGGGAGAACGGAGGGTGGCACTACCAAGCCGAGACGGGCGCAGTGACGAGCGGCCGACGGCTCAGGAGCGAGCTCTCCGGCCTCGGGCCGGGGAAGGGGAAGAAGAGAGATGGCCGGAGTCCTCGTCTCGCGTCCACACACGCACTGGCCTCCGACGCGTGCGACGGCGAAGAGACGAAGGCAAGAGGTGGGAGCGGCGGCAAGGCGTCAACAATGGCGCGGTGAGTGTGAGGCGAGCGAAAACGAGAGAAGAAGGGGTTTGGGGTGGCTTGGGTTTTATAGTGGAGGCGATGTCGGTTTGGGGAGTGAGGGAAACCGACCTTGGTGGCGGTCAAGGAGAGCGAGCTGGCGGTGAGCTGGTGCAGTCGCACGACCAGCGTCCGCGCTTTGGCCGCAAGCGGCTGGGACCATGGATGACATCGGCGGTGGTCGGGAAAAAGGGGAAACGAAGAGGGAAAGGAGGGCTTGACCCTTGCCGAAACGGGAAAAGGAGGAGGGAGAGGGGAGTGAGACAGGGGCTGCCTCTCTCGGCCTTGGAAGCTAGCGGCGTGGAGCGGCGGAGCGGCAGCGCGGCAGGGCACGACGCAGGCGGTGCCAGGGTTTGACGTAGCGGCGACCGAGGCGTTGGCCACGCGCGAACCCGCGCGGGAA